ACAAGAAATGTTAATTATAGCCGATTATTTGAAATCAGAATAGTAATTGTTTGCTCTCTTCTGATTATTAGGGGCGCTTTTGCAAATATAAAGGATGAAAGGTTCAGCCCAGAACACACCAGGATATTTGAGAGAAATTCAAAACATTCTAAAGTATTCCGGAATATCCTGGAATGTTCCACTGAGAATCCACAGGTTTCTGAGTTGAATATCCAGAACAAAGTTGATTCCAATTTGTCAACGCTCTAGTTGTAGGATGTACCACTGCGCCACCTACAGACAAAGTCCGGAAACCACTCCATATACTTCGGAGTGGGAGTCAGAATATTGAATGCATATATTCTGCAGAGGTTCATGCGATATGCCCAAGTTGTGCTGAAAATACTAAACCCTTGCCTCTCATGTGGCAGATACCCAGAGGAACAACAACAGCTGAAGTAAACCCATTATGCACTGGTCCAAATTCTTCCGTTCGGAAGATTCGTCGCAAGTAACTCACTGCGACCTGCAGACTCAGTCTACAGGTGGCGCAGTGATGTATCCTACTGAATCAACTGCAGGCAGAGCTTATGACTAGTTAGACGGTCCACTCCGTATGAAATAACCCTTCCGGTACTGACGAGGAGCTATCACTCCCAAACTGGTCAATTGATGGTAGTTCCGACCAAATTGAATTGAATTCCAAATGGAAGACGTTGCACAGGTGCTTGCTGGTTTTACTTCAGCTTTCTGCATAGCATTAGCTCGGTTAGTTGTTGTATTTCCATCGGGTATCTGCCACACGTACTTACAAAGTCATAAGTCCACATGAAAGGCAAGGGCTAAGATGTTTTTCACCTGAACTTCGGCATGTAATGCACCTCTCCGGAATATCGTTATTACTCTGACTCCCATGCCGAAGTATGTGTTTCTTGAGTTGTTTCCTGGCTGTGTTTGCAGGTGGCGCAGTGAATATTCCACTGAATCAACTGTAGACAGAGTTCATGACTGACAGAAATTAATTTTGTTTGGTCGGGATACTCAGAAGATTAATTCTGTCTAAAATGACCTTCCACGTGCTGATAAGCAGTTAGAACTCCGAAACCTGTCTATAGGTGGTCGTCTCCACCAAATGGAATCAATTTCAGCTTTTCATATATAGGAAGTTACTGGCGACCAATTTTCCAGACGGAAGACGTTGCACAGGTGCCTGATGATTTCACTTCAGCTTTCTGCATGGCATTAGCTATGTTATTTGTTGTTTCTTTGTTGTGATCTGTCATAAGTACCTAACAAATCGAGGGGTTTGGTATTTTCATCGGAACTTGTGCACATCATATAAATGTTCGGTAAGGTTTTCGCGCTCAGCAATATGATAAGTTTGGGTTGAACTGTGTTAAGTCTTTTCAGTTGTTCGACGTTTCGGCTTCGACTTTCAAGCTATTTCAAAGAAGCAATGACTACACTTAGATCTCAATCTGCTCACTCACAGGTAGTGATAGACTGGGAGAGTTTCGTGATTTGACACCGTGGTCCTAATCTACCTACTCCCTAGGTCTCGTGGCTGGTCTCTGCCAGAGTCTCAATCTGCAGATTATTTTGTACCTTCATTAACCGAAAGTGAAAACTTTCTTCATCGCTTGATTTTTTAATGAAAATCGAAATCTCACAATATCTTGGAACAACTGCTCAATATAAATCTTTCTGAGTCACTGATAATTTTACGTGAATTTATTAATACTTATGAAAATCCAATACTCTTGTGATCATAGATTTGATAGAATTTATAGCAGAAAGAACTACAATAAATTCAGAGAATGTATCTTTTTGGTAATTCCCGATTCGTGACAGCTAAAAGTGTCTCTCGCGTTATGGAAGCACAAACATTTGTGATACTATTTTTCAAATCCTCTACATTTTGTGGACGTCGCATATAAAGTAAGTCTTTGATATATCCCCGCAAAAAGAAATCTAGTGGAGTAATATCTGGACATCGAGCTGGCCATGGTATTAGACCCTTATTTCCGATCCATTAACCAAACATTAACTCCTCACACAAACTGAGATCTCGTTTCTTGCACCCAATGTGGGTTCACTAATAGTGACAATTATATTTGTTTATTATACCGTTATTATGGAAACGGGCTTTCATCACTCCATAATATTTTTTTCAGAAACTGATCATCATCATAAATACGGGTGGACAACCATGCAATGAAGTTCAATCTTCTATCAGCATCTCCTGAATATGGGAATATATTTTAGTTATTGAAAATGAAACATGAATATTATCACCTGGATCTAGTCCTTGAACCAAATGTATTTTGTATGGGTGGAATTTGGTTTTTGACAAAATACGTTGTATTGGCGTTTTCGAAATGTTACAATGCATTGCTACTTATCTGGTAGAACTATATGGTAGCACTGCAACACTGTGATTGTCATCAGTAGCCGTTTTTAGTTTTTTTTTGCTTCCGTTCATTAAAACATTCATTTCGTGCCAAAGATTTGGCTGAGCCAGCGAATGTTTTGTCTGAACGTAATTTTCTGTCAGGGTTCCAATTAGCGTATATTCTCACTGCTTCTTTCGAATTCCTTCTTGCTTCGCCATAAATACATATCATATCCAACTTTTCTGCATTTGAGAATTGAACCATTTTTCAATTTTACGAACAACCAACACAAAACTGAATAGACTTTCGTCAAATCGGACAGGGCTTATGATAGATCGATAAATACATTATTGCATTTATTTTGACTTATTCATGGCCCTCTGTATAATACGCAATATTTTTTTTTTTCATCAGTATTCAAGGAAAACTACAAGTGTGATATATGGCTGAATTCAGAATTTAATGCAGAATTCAAAAACCAATTGGAAATACTAGGTTACCTTTTAAAAAAATTGGCGTCTAACAGATGCCGCCTAGTGATTGATCTCTACGTAAATAAGAGGACCCTTTGACACCAAAATTATCTGCATTCACAAAATATGGATATTCTTTTTCATTTTTTAGATACTTTTCCGCGGAGTTTTATACAGTGTCACCTATAAAGTCCGCATCAAATGGGAAACTTTTTTATTTATAGTTTTATGTAAAATTTGATTTTGGCAGTAGATTTTGCTTAAGAAATGATGTCAAATGGCGTCTACAAAATAGGTCACGTGATTTCCTTAACCTGTCAAAATTGACATTTAAAAAAAGAAACATCGAAAAATGACATTATTCTTCAAAATATCCAAAAATATCATAGGATAAAAACATTTTCTTTTGTAATTTTATACC